CGATTTTTCTCTCTTATTAAATATTAATTTTCCGTCTGTGTCCACACAGCGTAGCGCCATATCCATGCCAAGTAGCTGGTTCTGGGCTATGCTCCTGTGCTAAAATATCGCCCGTTAGCGGTCGAAAACAAATTGGGAACATACTTCAATCCATCAAAAAACTTGAAAATTCATTACAGGATGGAAAAGGGGGAGGGGAGGGGAGGGGGGAAACACTTCAACGCAAGACGAGAAATAATTTCCATCATAATCCTATTCAAATATTCGTATGCTTTTCAAACGATTCGTCACGATAACGGCTACAATGCACAATGAAAATACACAAGGAACCAAAAAGAAACAGAAAAAGTAAACAATTTGCTTGATTTAAGGTGGAGAAATATGAAAAACATTCAGTAAAGGCGAAGTTGTGCAACGAAGAAGCAAGACAACAAAATCAAAATAATAGATCATCACAAGAAGTGTGTAACCATTCTACAGGAGGAACCACGGGGACGAACATCTGTTATTTCAGACAGAGAAATGTGACAGTCAATATTGCAGAATCCCCCCACCCCCTTTTCCTAATCATTTGCCCGTCTTTTTTATAACCCAGTCATAGGCCGGCACTCTGAAATGAGCTGTTTCGTGTGCAGTGTAAGAATTAATCTTTCAAAATGACAGCAACGATCTGGGACATACCAGGGACACCCACCAAAGCCGGCGTGAAGCTATAATTTATCACTCAAAAACAGTCATGGTTGCAACAACAATGATACGGTGAACCAAAGCGTAGAAAAAGAAGCCCAGTGATAGCAAACCCGCGGCAGTTTTTGGTGGTGCAGCGTGGGAATGCAAACGTGTGACAAAACAAAACAAATACAGACTGGCCCTACCGCTTCTGTATATCCGCGAGTACTTGTGCCAAGAGACAAGTCTTTATACATGCCCCCCCCCCCCCCCCAAAAAAAAAAACCACCCACGTCGCCGTATCACTGAGTAATAACACTATCATTGACATGCCTGCAACAGTTGTACCAACAAAAGAAACAGAACCACTACTACTGCCATAACGGCTACCCGCACCTCTATCACACCACTATGACTCACCATACCCACCACCTTCACTACAACAACTACAACATCACAACAACTATTACTACCACTATAACCACCACCACTACTACTCTCGCCATCGTTACAACGATAACCATCACCACCACCACCACTACAACTAACATAAACACTGCCATTCACCACAACCACCACTACACTATCATTAATAATCACCACAACCACAACCACCACTACAACTACCATTAATACTACCACCATTACCACAACCACCACCACAATCATTAACAATACCGCCACCATAAAAACCACCATTACGACTTAGGCTACCATTATTATTATTACCACCAAATACTACCCACACTAGAACGGCCACCAACGGGTGCATCTTTTCAACAAGCAGACAAGCGACATCAGCATTTCCCAAGGTATTACCATCCGACTACGGACAACCGCTGAATTATTAACAAGGCACAGTATGGCAGTGCAGGTACAGAACACAGGGGAAATCCACCCGATTTCTAATGGTATTGGCCATTCACCGATACTGAGTTCTGTACAGGCTGCCCTTGTCGCTTTTACGTTCTGACACTACATGAGTAATTCAACAGCCGTTTCATGTTTCAAGTTATCAACTACTGGAAGCGTGTATATGTGTGGAAGTGGGGTCCCATATTTTGAGCCATAACAACACATTCTTGAACGTGCAACCGAAATCGTATCTTTTAGCCACTAGATTTA